TTTGTATCATTCTAGTTTGTTGCTATATGCCACATAGCTGAACAGAAGCTGTATCCAGCTGAGTGGGTTCCCTGTTACTGTTCCCCTAATGTGTGTGAGATGAAGTCTTGGGTTCAGAAAGAGAGTTCTGACCTGAATTTGCTATTCTGGTTTCAAATGCCACTATAACTAGTTCAGTCAGGGTACCAGTGGTGGCATTCCTTCCCTCCTCCGTTAGGAAACTTAAAAAGCTAGAAATCTGGTATGCTCTGACTCCTGTTGTGCCATGGGTTGTTTCATTTGTCAGGAAGTCCTGCAGGCCTTTTTACTTTATTGGCTTACTTCTTAGTTCAAAATAGAAGACCGATTTAGAGGACAAGAATGCCTCAGGTGGGCTTAAACCCTTCCTCAAAATACCCTGACATTAGGGATCTTAATTGCACTGTAATGGCATGCTCATGTGTGAGTGCATGCATGTGCTCACACACGCTGGTTTTAAAGAAACTCTCTCTTCTTAGCTTATTGCTACATATCTTTAGTATAAGGAAGCTAGGGCAAAGGATGAGGAGACTTACAACAAGAGCTCTTACCAGCAATTATGTGTCATGGTCTCTCCTACATCCTCTGAGGTTTGTTCTTCTGTGGTGGCGTTTCATTCTTTGTACTCAGTGTGTTCTCATACTTCTGTTCTTGCTGTAGACGTTTCTAGACTGAAGTGGAACTGGCAGCCTCCTTGCCTTATATTGTCTTGACTGGTGGCCTCCTTTCTTTCTGGTAGGTAGAGCCATAACACGTAGCATAAGGGATCTATTGGATAACGTGGGAAGAGGAAAACCAGGGTAAACCCATTTATCTTTCAGTGTTTCTTTTGTTCCGCTTTCTAAGTTTAAGGTTTAACTGGAATATGGTTGAAGCAGAGAGGAAGATTGGAAACCTCATTTTGCCCTGGCATAAATGTTTTGGCGTTTTTTGCTTTCCGCTGACCTTGACACATTTCTATCACTAGGCAAAAGGAGCAGATGAGGAAGACAAACAGAGGAAGAGATGTGGATGAGAGGCTCTTATTCCATGGAACAAGTACATCCCATCTGCATGCCATCTGTGGACAAAACTTTGACTGGAGAATCTGTGGGACCCATGGAACATTATATGGAAAAGGTATAGAGGTAGTGTGTGTAAACGTAACATGAACTCTCTCTCTCTCTGTTCCTGGAGTGTAATGAAACAGACTCAAATTAATACTGCAGAAGTCAACTTCCTACCTACTGGGCCTGATTCTCTGTTGCCTTGCAACTTTAGTGGCCACTTACACCAATGCAGAGTGAGTGCAAAGGCTATTGAACTGGCATTTTACATTTACTTTTTACAGGTGTAAACGACTACTCCAAGTGCAGAGCAATATTGTTTCAAATTTAAAAGATCTGTTCTACCCTTCTGAACTCATCGTGCTATTTTGCTCAGTTTGAAACCTCCCACTGATTTTAACGGGATTGTGTTTTAATATTAATGGAAGTTAGTCAGGCATATCAAAGGGCATGTAGAATGTGCGCTTGCTTTCTAGCAACACTTTTGGTCTGTTTCTGACTAGTTTTTGTGTTGGTATTTAGAAATATTGAAAGGATCCTTTCTTTCAGGTAGGGGTTCTGTGAATAGTTAACTGTAGAAGGGCTTGTCTGGTTCTGTATAATATTTTCAGAGCAACCTTATCTGTTGGAAACTTAAGAAATGATGGATTCAAATCAGAAGTTTAACATTATTACTAGGTTTTTATTGTGCATCACTTTAAAAACTCTAGCTTTGTCTTCATGGTTCATGATGTCTCAAGATTCCATTGTTGGAATATTATCCGCAGAATTCATAGCCGACTACTATCTGCTAGCTTGTGTTTAAAAAAAAAAAATGGATTGAGAACCCTCTTGCAGAAGCTCTTTTTCTTAAATCTGAAGAAATAGAAGTTTGCCAAACACTCTTGAGGCAACCATGTGCTTTAGAGCAGTGTTTCTCAACGAATGGTCTGTGGACGCCAATCCCTGTTGCAGTTTAGGAAGGCAGCAAGCCAGTCCTTGGTATCAAAAAGGTTGAGAAACATTGCTTTAGATGCTGTTCAAAAGGCCGTCTCCTTCTCCTATTGTAGTCAATAGGAGCTTGGATACTGACTGGGGCTGGTCAAAATTTTTTGCTTTTTTCTATGGAAAATTGGGGTTTTGACAAAACGAGAACTTTTTGCAGAAAGTGACTTCTTTCCTCTGAGGCTGTGTCTATGCTAATAGAGCCTATGTTGACTCTGCCAATGTAGCTGTGCACCCTAGTGTAGACACACCATACGCTGACAGGAGTTTTTCTGCTGGTACTGGAACACCACCTCCCTGTGCAATGTTAGCGATGCCAACAGAAACACTCTTCTGTCAGCACAGTTGCATCTATACCGATAATTTTGTCAGCATAGCTGTGTCACGAGATGGGTTTTTTTTCCACACCCCTGACCAACATAGGTATGCCAGTATACATTTTTAAATATAGGCCATGCCAAAGTTTTGCTTTTTTTTGTTTGTTTTAATCTGAAAAGCAAGAGATTTTCCCAGAGGGGAGAGAACTACTTTCTGACCAGCTAAGGTCTGGTCTACACACAGATTTAGTGGCATAACTATGTCAGTCAGGGGTGTAACTTCATTTCCAAAATACCAGCACAACCCTTAGTGTGGACAGTTATACAAGATAGTATTATACCTATTTACATGCGTCCATACTAGGAGTTCTACTGGTATTTGGGGGGAAAAAAGTCACATCCCTGATTGACACATTTACCAGTATCTTATACTGGTACAGTTTGTTCCTCTTTTACTACAGAAATAAGCTATATTGGAGTAAGGTACTGTTGTACCTCTAAGCGCAACCACGCTAGGGGTTTAACTATACTTGTATAGTAAAAGCCGTTCAACTTCTATGTTTAGACAAGCCCCAATGCTGACTTAACTAGGCGCAGGGTGCAGTCCATGAAGTAAAACACATTAAAAAGCCAAAATAGTTGCACTAGTAAGTTATCTAACTTACTGACTATGGGTGATCGAGGGTGTCTTAGAAAGCATGATTAGATATTTACCTTATTCATAATAAACGAAGTACGAGTATGATTTAGGAGATATCTATAGTTACCTGGAGGTACATACAGTGTTAAGGGCACTTGTTGAAATGCTATAAGCTAGAGCATCAACTGTTATGGCAGTAATAGATACAAGCATAAAATAAATTCTAAAGAAATAATTCTTATCTTGGCTTTTTCTTGTTCTTAGGAAGCTACTTTGCCAGAGACGCTCGTTATTCCCATCAGTATTGTCAGACTGGCTCCAGTTCCAAGACCATGATCGTAGCTCGAGTGCTAGTTGGAGACTTTGTTCAAGGAAGCAACAACTATCTTCGCCCTCCACCCAGACCTAACAATCCGAACAGCTTTTACGACAGCTGTGTGGACAGCCTAGTGAATCCCTCCATTTTTGTCATCTTTGAGAAGCACCAGATTTACCCAGCATATATAATAGAATATGCAGAAGGGTACAGCTGTGTGATCTTGTAATGGACAGCAATATCACTTTCCTACACTGAGACAGTCAAATGATTTTACATATTTCCTATTTTAAAATATATTTATTGGAACTACTGTCTGTGTGTGTCTGTTACGAAACCGTTTGAAATGCAACAAAACAGGAGTAGCCAATCCCATCATGGATATTGGCACTTTGGTATATTAACTGTCTATATACTAAAAATACAGAACTCTAAGGGTTACTCCTGCACTAAAGGGAGAGGAGCTGGGGTCTGGAGAAGAAGGGGGCCTGTTTCCCATAATGCATAGGAGTGCTGGAAGAGGTGTAGGGGCCTCAGTTTAGTCAGGCCCCATTTTCACATCCTGCACTTTGGAGAAGTATCACTGTTCCCTGCCCCCATGAGACCAGCACCTATTAGCACCCAACTGCAGCTGGCATCTACTGGCATACACGTAGCGCTGCATGCCACAGTGCAGTATCTCCGCTTTCAGATGAAATCCTTCATCAGCTATTTCCCACAACGGGTTGTCTCTGCTCTCCTTGCTCCAGTGGCTAGGCCTGGATTTACCCATAAGAAAAAACACGAAGTATAGAACTTGCAGCATCCCCTGGGCAAATGTTTAAGGCACATTCTGTACTCTGGAACAAGGATCATAATACTGGAGTGGCTTTATATTACACTATGATAGCCAGAAACACTCCTTAAAAGTTGGTCAGTATCTCCTTGAACTGAGGGACTTGCAATAGACAATGCGCCAGGGTTGGAATGGTCATATTTGGGGTGATCATGTCTGAAGAACAGACAGAAGCAGAATTGTCATTTCCTTGAAATCTTCACTCTTAATCTCCAGAGAAGGTATCATATGAGAAATGTGTCCACAGACTGCACAATCCTCTATTGTATAGGGAGAAGTTCAGCTGTCTAGCAAAGAGTTATTTGTCAAAGGGTAGCTAAACTAACACTACAATTTGCATGAATAACTCTAAAACGATCAAATATAAATTTTCCTTTACAGGAATATCTAGACTAAGATCTCCTGGGACTCCTGATTTGATACTGTTTCAATATTCTCTTACTGAAAGGTTAATTTTGAGAAGGTAACAGATCTTTTAGACAAAGGAAATGCAGTGGACCTAATTTACCTCTATTTCAGTAAGGCATTTGATATGGTTCCACATGGGGAATTATTAGTTAAATTGGAAAAGATGGGGATCAATATTAAAATTGAAAGGTGGAACTGGTTAAAGGGGAGACTACAACGGGTCATACTGAAAGGTGAACTGTCAGGCTGGAAGAAGGTTACTAGTGGAGTTCCTCAGGGATCAGTTTTGGGACCAATCTTTTTATTACTGACCTTGGCACAAAAAGTGGGAATGTGCTAATAAAGTCTGCAGATGACACAAAGCTGGGAGGTATTACCAATACAGAGAAGGACCAGGATATCATACAGGAAATCTGGATGACCTTGTAAACTGGATTGATAGTAATAGGATGAAATTTAATAGTGAAAAGTGCAAGGTCATGCATTTAGAGATTAATAACAAGAATTTTTGTTATAAGCTGGGGACACATCAGTTGGAAGTAACAGAGGAGGAGAAGGACCTCAGAGTATTCGTTGATCACAGGATGACGATGAGCTGCTAATGTGATATGGCCATGAAAAAAGCTAATGCGGTCATGGGATGCATTAGGCGAGGTACTTCCAATAGAGATAAGGAGGTGTTAGTACCATTCTACAAGGCACTGGTGAGACCTCATCTGGAATACTGTGTGCAGTTCTGGTCTCCCATGTTTAAGAAGGATGAATTCAAACGGGAACAGGTACAGAGAAGGGCTAGTAGGATGATCCGAGGAATGGAAAACCTGTCTTATGAAAGGAGACTCAAAGAGCTTGGCTTGTTTAGCCTAACCAAAAGAAGGCTGAGGGGAGATATGATTGTTCTCTTTCAATATATCAGAGGGATAAATACCAGGGAGGGAGAGGAATTATTTAAGCTCAGTACCAATGTGGACACAAGAACAAATGGATCTAAACTGGCCATCAGGAAGTTTAGACTTGAAATTAGATGAAGGTTTCTAACCATCAGAGGAGTGAAGTTCTGGAACAGCCTTCCAAGGGGAGTAGTGGGGGCAAAAGACATATCTGGCTCTAAGACTAAGCTTGATAAATTTATAGAGGTGATGGTATGTTGGGAATGCCTAATTTTGGCAATTAATTGATCTTTGACTATTAGCGGTAAATATGCCCAATGGCCTGTGGTGGGATGTTAGATGGGATGGGATCTGAGTTACTACAGAGAATTCTTTCCTGGGTGTCTGGCTGGTGAGTCTTGCCCACATGCTCAGGGTTTAGCTGATCGCCATATATGGGGTAGGGAAGGAATTTTCCTCCAAGGCAGAGGCCCTGGGGTTTTTTCACCTTCCTCTGCAGTGTGGGGCAAGGGTCACTTGCTGGAGGATTCTCTGCACCTTGAAGTCCGATTTGAGGACTTCAATAGCTCAGACATAGGTTAGGGGTTTGATACAGGAGTGGGGTGGGTGAGAGTCTGTGGCCTGCATTGTGCAGGAGGTCAGACCAGACGATCATAATGGTCCCTTCTGACAAAGTCTACGATTCTAAAATTCAGGATAATGCTTGAATACAGTAGATTCTGCTTATTAGCAGCCCTTTAGTTGCCAGCAAAAAGCTGCCATTAGCCAGGCGCTAATAAGCACAAGGCAGGTTTATGGGGCTGCAGCCAAGGAAGGAAGTGCTGGGACGTGCCGTCCATGGCAGCAGCTCCACGAAGCTGCCCGTGGGAAGGGTAGCAGCAGGAAAGGGGCTGCAGCCCTGATGCTGGGCCTTTCTACCAGGAGCAGGGGGCCTGTGGGGCTGCACCATACCTCTCCCTGCCCACTATGGGGGCTGGAGCTCAGCACATTCCAGCATTGCCTTCTCTGGGTGCAGCCCCACTGGCAGGGCACAGATTGGAGAGAGCAGGGAGAGGTACCCTGGAACGCTGGCATCTGGCTCTCACCCTGCTACTGCCCTTCCCATAGCCCCTTACTTCCTGTATGGTCCCTGTGCACTGGTAGGTTTGTGGGGCTGCAAGTGGGGAAGGCACATCCCAGCACTTCCTTCCCTGGCTGCAGCTTTGCAAAGCTGCCTGCTGCAGTGCTGCTGGAGCCTCTCTTATAAAAAAATGTTAATAGATGGCATGTCATTGGCAATATCTAAACCCCACTAACATTAAAGTCAATGGGACAGGATTGGTTCCCAGCCAAGTCCTGTTAACCAAAAAGTCGTCAATAGACAGGTTGCTATTAAGCAGAATCCACTGTATATGAAGTGTCCTTTACAGTATTCTTAAGTACTGTAACTTAGAAAGTTTTAACAAATTTATAAATCATTGTCATACTAGCATCAGCAGTATAATATTTACCATCACGGAAATGTGTAAAACTGGAGTAAAGGAGCACCTTTTTCAATTGTGGAAAAACTTTCATGTGGAACGTGTAGCGTCCCCTCTCCACCCGGTTACCTTCTTTAATGCCAATTTGCTTATAGGTTTTGATGGACAGGTCTGGGTTCTTCTGGATCCCGCCACCACTCAGCAGGTCTTTTTTATTTTTTCCTATGAATTTATTTGGTGGTGCCTCCACCCCCTCACTCCTTTCTGGCAGGGTCACCAGGGCAGCTTGGGAGGAAAATTTTAACAGGGTAATCCTCACTTACTTGCCAGATTGTGTTATTTCTTGGAAGTCTCCAACGAATAACACAAACACATACAATATATTCAACACAATAATTATATTAAACAGGAGACAAATATAACATAACAGGGTAAAGCACTATTGTTAGGGTCACTGGTGCCGACGCTGCTAATACCTGTGACTTTCCCCAGTCACGTGACACGATGTAGCAAATATAAGATTAGTGTCCCGTTGGTACGGGTACTTTGTTGGGGCCGTTGATGACCTATGACCATAAAATTCTTCTCTGCAGTGGTTTAGCAGTGTGGCTGACTGGGTTCAGAACAGCCCAAAGGACTCACAAGTAGGAGAAGGTGGTAAATCCCTCCACAGGTTTAATATGCAGCAGGTTATAAAATCCCCAAACCCTCACTCCCTGGCTTGAGGACACAGTTCAGGGAGTCCCCAAAACAAATTCCTTAACTGACTGACTAACAGATGGTGCACTCACAAACTCCATGAATGATCCTCAGGTTCAGAGATGGCTCTGGACTCACTGGTCACTGCAGAGGGGCTGATCTCTGCTGGCAGGGATCCTCTTCAGGCAGGAATCCGGCTGCTTCGGTCCCAAGATTTCCCCTCACCACAAAGGGGTGCAGGGCTCAAGGTGCAGATTACACAACTGTATTAAAATCCAAACTGTCGTCTCCTAGCCCAGCATCTAGACACACACACAGCAGGCAGCAGCCCTGAACTAGCAGGCAGAGCAGAGCTGACCATGTTGTGACTGGTCTCACCTTGGGAGCTGGACGGCTAACTCAGCCTGGCTGGGGGAGTTTCCCAGCAAAACTTTACAAACTGGGAATCATCAGTGAAGAAGGAAAAGCCCAGCGGAGGGATCTTGCTTTCAGGTTCCTAGAGGCCAGTTCTCAGGGGGAATCCTGCATGCAGGCTTGGGCCTTACTAGCTCCCCACATAGCCAGTCCTGCCCTTGCCCTGGCTGCCTCCAGACTGACTCAAAAATGGCTTCTCCCCTTTCCTGAACTCCCTGGGAGGGGCATCTCACTCCCTATTGGTTGCCGGGCAGACTCTGAGTTTGCCTTGACTCCCCCTTCCTACCAGGGATCAGGGCCGGCTCCAGGAACCAGCGAAGGAAGAAGGTGCCTGGGGCGGCCAATAGAAAGGGGCGGCACTCTGTCCGCTATCGGGGCAGCACGTTCGGGTCCAGGGCAGCAATTCGGCGGCGGACCCTTCTGTCCCTCTCGTCCTCTTCGGCGGCAGCTTAATCGCTCCGCTTCAGGCTTCTGCGGCAATTTGGCGGCGGGTTTTGTTTTTCTTCTTTGCCGCTTGGGGCAG